TCACATTGCCTGCTAGATAAGACTCAAGAGAAGCACCAGAAAAATGTCAAAGTCTATCCACAAGTTTCTGAAAATGGAATTAGAATTGAAAAGAATGAACCTGAAGCACCTGTGAATAACAACTTACCCAAAGCTTTGATCTCAGTATAGAAGTACAATATTAAATTTTCTTTGTTAGGTTTTCTTATAAAACTTAAAATTAAGCTAAAGAGATTGTGAAAGTGTAAATTACACCCAAAAAATTACTGTAGTTTTCAACATAGTACGAATTCTGAAAATTCCAAGAATTCTGAAAATCCTAAGAATTTACAGAATAGTTAGTATTATTGGGATTGTCAGGATCCTTAAAATAAAATTATTATGATAATCATTATAATTGCCTAAATTATAATAGCTATTATTGTTAGAATAGTTATTATCATTAGTATTCTTATTATATTACATATGTAAAGAAAGTAAATAAGCAATCAAAGCTTACTTTCAATAAAGACAGTAGATAGTTTTTAGCTTTGAAGCTTTCGGCTCTCAACTCGGTGAAGTTCAAAGTTCCAAGTTAAAGAAATCAGAGTATTTAAATTGTAAATAACTCTTAGAGTTCAGAACCTTCTAAGTTCTTGAAGTAGAAGTGTTTGTTCTACTAATCCCCCATAAGTGAAATCTGTAATTACGAAAGGAACTTGTGACCAAATCCCGTGATTCTATATACAGAGATTCGTGACGTAATTCAGAGCTCTAATCCGACACTATTACTAAGAACCCAATTAACCTTGATTACTCGGCTCAAGTCTTTCCACACCTCGATTGTTGCCTTACTATTATTAGGGTTTAGGTTTTATTAGTTGTGGTGTTCTGGTTAGAGTAGTTTAGTGAGTTTTAGTAGTGTATAGTTGTATTATCTAGACTCAGTGCATTATTCGCAATTTTACACCGGTTAACCGATACTATGAAAAAAAATAAGCGGATCAGCCCAATAAGACAAAGATCAACACAAATCAGTCTGATAAGATGGAAGATCCTAACTAAAAACACATTTTTTAACTGATAATAACTGACCGATTACTGACTGAACCCATCTCTAATCACAGATTAGAACTTTTATAGGCATTCAATTATGTATCACTAACAATATTGCATCAAATTATTTAACACTTTCTATGCATATGAATTCTTTTATTTTTTAGTCTTTTCGTACCTAGAGTATTGTTTATTTCAATGAAGCAGGGATCGCCCCAATGATCTTACGACTATTTTGTGGAAAATACTTATTTCTGTGAGTGCAAACCAAAAAACTGTCAGGTAGAATATGCGAGTTAGTACAGTAGTATTTATAGTTATAGAAAATTTTCATTCTTCATATCAGAAATGAGATTTATCCAGTTTCACAAAGGCAGATTTTTTAATCTATTTATACTATCTAATTCAGAGTTTTACATTTTGGCTATTTTCATTGGTTGTCGGTAAGTAGCTCGAGGTCTATATGTATATAGCTAATTTGGTAATTGTAGTTATATTTGATTTGACAAGGATTTTATTGATTACTTGCATAATTACATAATAGTGATCAATTGTCTGCAGAAAACGTTAATTTATATATCATATATGCAAGTTGGTAATTATTACGACATTTGCTACTAATGTCTGCATAATATGTAAATATCAGATGTAGATCATTATTATTACAATATTCACTATTAAAGGTTTAGAATTTATAGTTCTAGCGATTTTTTTTTTCAGAATCTTTTATCTGAAATCTAAAATCTAAAAAGATTATTATTAACTTAATTTAATAGTTATTTCTACATCAGCTAATTACTGATGTAAGCATTTACTTATAATACAGAGACTAACTAATCAAATACTAACTTTAATTTTATGTGGCTGGCAAAATAAGCAATAACACTGATATATATGATAATATATGTATGTCGAGATGAAATTAAACCCACCACATCGTGAAATTGTGAAAGAGTACTATAGAAATTTGTCTTTTTCTAATATAAAAAATACTTTAGTATCATATTAATTATGTATCTAGAAATTTGTCAAAATGCATAATATTAATTAATAAATTAAAATAATAATTCACATCCTTTTTTCTCATAATAATGAATAAACAAAAATTGTAATTCTTATCTTTTTTTCTCGAGCTAAAATAAATTTGGTAATTCAACATATAACTGGAATCTGGCAATGTTGAGAAAAAAAATATAGAAACATTTAAATAATTATGAATCGTGCTGAATTGTACAAACTTATAAACTAATAATACTTTGATTTTTACTATTATTATTTATCTTCAATATTTATGTTTGCCAAGAATGCCACCTGTCCGTCGTTTACTTCTACGAACTGTTAGAAATGCTGAAGATATCCGAACTGATAGTTTTATTCAGAATCAAAGGTTTTGGTGAATACAAACTTCGACAATAAAACAACAGAGAGAATATAAAATTGGTTTGAATTTTCAAGAAACAACTACTGCTGTTCGTCATTTGCTGAAACTTTCTCGCATTTGTCCTTACTGTAATGCTAAACTTTTTGCAAGAGAAAGTAAAGGAATGTGCTGTATTACTAGAAAAATTAAGTAATAGCTAATAATTCATTAATAATACATTAATAATTTATATATATTTAATATATATACATATATATATATTAACAGATTAGCTTCAATTGAATGTATTGCACCCTTGAAGAATTTAATTACAAGACTTGATAATGTAGGAAATAAATTTCGTAATAATATTTGCGCTTATAATAATGTTTTTGCTTTTACTTCTATGGGAGTCAAAATAGACGAAAATCTTGCTAATAGTAAAATCAAATTTAATTTAATTAATAATATGCGTATATAATATGTGTATAATAAAATTTGTTAATTTCTTAATAGGCAAAGATGGAGTATATACATTTC